AATAACTGCCAATTTAAGTGTATAAGTCACGTAAGACAGCACTATTAGGAGACATTGAGGGCATTTTTAAAGTAAAAACAAAAAAAAAAAAACCTAAAGGAAATTAAATAGAAACCCAAAGGTTTCAGATTCTTGATAAGTTCAAACGGCAATAAACCTATAGAATGAGAATAAAGAGTTAGGGTCCACAAAAGGCATGAAACTGGACACAGTTCCTGGTGAGACTCTAAATTAGAAGCTCACCGTGGGCGAAAGCAAAAATAACCAAAACACTAAAAGAAAGTATTCTTTATAATGCTGGGGTCTGGGTCTGGGGCCAGAACCAACATATATTTATAGGCTTCAACTGAGAACTGTAGTGAAACAGGCAAGCTCAGGGCAGTCTCAAATCCAGGTTCCCCAGCCAACTTCCTCTCAAGGCTTTTCTCAGGAATTTTGCACTACCACCATAACCAGGGGGATGACAGATTGGAAAGGTCTCCTCCAAAGCCTTCACCCAACGAACTGACAATCTTCTGCATGATTCTTCTCCCCCTCATTCCACTCATCCTGTACAGTGCAGGACAGAATTCTGAGCCAGCCTTTTTAACTTCAGTTACATTCATTCAATGTCTATAATATGCCTAGATCTGTGATACTGACCTTAAAACTCTTTTATTTCATTAATAGACTTTTGGTGGGGACAGGGAAAAGTTTAAGATTGACAGAAGAACTGAGCAGATACTATGAAGAGTTCCCATATCCCCCTATTATTAATATCATATATTAGTATGGTACATTTCTTACAATTAATGAATCAATATAGACACATTATTATCAACTAGAGTCCACAGTTTATTCAGATTTCCTTAGTTTTTATCTAATGTCCTTTTTCTGTTCCAGGATCTCATGTGGCAAACCACATTATTATTTAGCTGTCATGTTTCCTTCGCTCCTCTTGGCTGTGACAATTTCTCAGACTTTCCTCGTTTTAGAAGATCTTGACAGTTTCAGGAGTACTGGTGAGGTACTTTATAGAATGTCCTTCCATTTGAGTTTGCCAAGTGTTTGGGAGGAAGATCACAGAAATAGTGCCATTCTCATCACATCAAGCAAGAGTACATATATCAACATGACTAATCACTGAAGATGTTAACCTTGATCACCTGGGCTGAGGTGGTGTTTGTCCGGCTTCTCCACTGTAAAGTAGCTCCTCCATTCCCCTCTTTGGAAGGAAGTCATAACTATATGCAGCCCACACTTAAGGAGTTAGGTAGTTATGCCCTCCAAAACTTTTTCACTTACCTTTTTAATACAGTCCTCTCAAAAAGCCCATACACATGAAAAATCTGAGACTGAAACAACTCAAGTTTACAGAGCTAAAAAGTGCTAGGGTAGGAAACAAACCAAAGCACTCTGAATCCTAGCTTAGTGTTCTTTTCACTGTAACACGCTCAATCTCAAAGAAACAAATTATATAGTAATTGGTAAATTTCAAGCTCTACATTATTCAACCACTAGTCTTTTTCCATGTACTTCTATTTTATTCATCAGTTTCCTGTTTCTTTGGCAGTGATTACTCTTTCTTATTAACTCACCCCAGTTTCACTCCAAAGCCATGCTATTTTTCTCAGATATCTTTGTTCTAGAGAAACTAAATTCTGTCTTAAACTGGGTCCCAGAAACATCTTTCCACTTCTCTAAACCTGCCCTATAGAAACTGCCTGAACTACCTTCTCCAGTAACCTGGTGTAATTAATGAAAAAAGCACATGACACTAGATTTATTTAAAAAAAAAAAAAGAAGAAAGAAGAAGAAAATGAAGATCGTGTAATACTCTGGAGTCAGAAAATCCTGAGATCAAATTTCGGTTCCATTGCCACCACTGTGACCTTGGAAAAGTCATTTAACATTCTTAAGCATCATTACTTAAAGCTTTTGATATATAAAAAAGCTACCTGTGCAGTTTTCCATGCAGTATCTGCAAAATGGAAGCTCTACAATTTATAGACTTGCCTACATAATTGAAAAACAAAAGCTTAAAGATGAACTTGGAACTTAGCAAGTACAGATTAACTTGTACCTTTGATAACAGAATAGTAGGGGATCTAGTTAAATGAAGAACAGTAATTTAAATTGTGCACAGCTTTGATTAAACTACAGATTTTCCTGAAAATGGGATGTATTTTATACAATTCCTCTCTGAGACAAGTATCAGATGAAAATATCCCAAAAAAGTCAAGGATATACTAAGTTCATTACATTCTTGTATTTACCAATACACCTAATGAAGGACTTGCTGAAACTCCCTGTCAGAGGCCTACCCACCCTTCTTCCAAAATCACTAACAGTTCTTCATAAAGTAAAGCAGCCCAGCTATACAAGAGTAATTAATCTATGGTAGCACTTCAGACAAAAGCAGAGAGGAAATTTCAACTGGAAAATATTTTGACGTAATTGACCCAGATGACAAACTAAACTTAAGCATATGTCAAGTGCTACAGTCTGCACCAAAACACATACAGATGCCAAAGGATATTAAGAGCCCATACAAGTCAAGGTGAAGTCTTAACTCTGAGTAGAGTATATCTCTTTAATCACTGCTTAGAAAAGACGCACAAGGGAAACTAAAGGGTTCTTTCATAAACTCAGAGAAAGAAATGTTAAAAGTCCTTAAATTCTTTATCTTGGGAATTAAAGGTAATTATCACTGCACAAAGTGTTAGGGAGTCTCTCTTTCCAATACATCTTGTGTTTCGCAACTGGCTAGAAAATTCCATTGTCTATCTGCTTTTTTCTGATGACTTTCAAAATGTGTAAGATTTGTTATTTCAAAAAGCTCAAATTTAATTATAACACTTAAATCCCTTAGAAAACAAACATATGTTAGAACCAAAAGGCAACTTTATCTTCATAGAAAAATAACACTAAAAAGAATACAATATGAATTCTCAACTTGTTTGACTTCATTTCCTCATATTTAAGCTGCATAATAGAGCTACTGTAAGTCTTCTCCTAAGCATTAGTCAGACCAAGATGGAAAGACCCATGAAAATACAGAGAAAAGGCAACTATTTTCTCATGTTCCTAACTTTTTCTTTTGATAATTTTTAAACATATAGAAAAGTTGAAAGAATAGTAAAATGAACTCCCATTGTCCATTAAATAGAGCCTCCACCCAGATTCAAAAATTGAATAATCCTGTCAAATTTAATTCCATATTGAATAAAAATCCACCTTAAATAAAAATTACTAAGTAGAATACATAACAATCTCTAATGAAGTAAGAACCCAATTTATTAAGAAAGTTTCTTAACATCATTTATCTTTTTTGTATGTGACCTAAAAGAATTAAAAACTTAGTGAAAGCTTTCCTATTCAAAAATGGTAATAAACATATTTCTAAGTAATCCTAGAACAGTCCATAAAGCAGTCCTGGTAGTATCTGGAAGAGTTATCCTGGATCACAAATGAGTGAGATGCTAGTTTGTAAGAAAATATACGTGCTCTTTCTTGAAATACAAGTGTAAATAACTGTAAGCTAAGTCCTCATCAAATAAGTTTCAGATATCCAGCAGACAGGAAAAATTCAAAGACTATAAATACATAATCGTGGAATATACAAAATGGCATAGGAAAATGGGAAGGAAATGCCAGTAAAATGGCCATGTCCATTACCAAGAGATAAGAGGACAGGGATTAACAAGAAATCAAAAAGTCTCTGGAAATTTCAAAATCACTCATTTCTCCAACACATAAAACTGCAACCTTTAAAACTGTGGTTATGATTCAGCGTAACTGTTGATAGTGAAAATGGTCCCCTCCCCATATCTTCACTATCCAATATCTTCCACAAGATAATCAATAATATGCAAACACTAGTGACTGTGAAGAGACTGATTCTTAAAAGTAGTCTAAATACATCTAAATATCATTCCACAAAAATTTTAAATAAAGCAAAAAACTGACACTGTACTCTGAAATAGGTTTTATGCTTTGAAACTGCCAATGATTTCAATGTTCTAAGATAGAAAAGGTATTTTGTTATGGAAAAAATTCTCTGGTATATCAAAACAGATTATCAATGTGCCTTTTCTGAAATGAATTTGATATTTAACATATTTAGGGACATATTTTTGTGATAAAGTCCATGGAAATGGATTTACAGTTTTATATATGTATGTTTAATAATTGGATATATAATCATATTACATAAAAATTAATATCTGGTCCTAAAGTAATTGTAAAACTACACATCAAGTAAGATTATCTATGCCAAGTAAGAGGGCAGGGCAGTGAACAAATAAAATATGTGTGTGTTGGGCTGGCCCCGTGGCTGAGTGATTAAGTTCGAGCGCTCCGCTGCAGGCGGCCCAGTGTTTCGTTGGTTCGAATCCTGGGCGTGGACATGGCACTGCTCATCAAACCACGCTGAGGCAGCATCCCACATGCCACAACTAGAAGGAGCCACCACGAAGAATATACAACTATGTACCGGGGGGCTTTGGGGAGAAAAAGGAAAAAATAAAATCTTTAAAAAAAAAAAAAAATGTGTGTGTGTGTGTGTATGTGTTGTAGAATATAAACAATGTACACATACTCTCTGACTGGAAAAGTGTTTTTAAGGAATTTAGTTTTACTATATAAAGTATCTGATTTCTTTGAAAATTCTACGCATATAAATATTAAATTCACAATCATATTTACAATTAAGTCTTCGTTAAGCAAAAGTGATTAGCACAATTAAAAAATGTAGAAACCAAAGAAGCCTGGTTTCTATAACACACAGGTACAAGAAATACTGAGAATAAAGAAACTAAATAAAGCAGTCTTCTATCGTCCACCATGATTTGCTGATTACACACATTTATCTCTCATCTCCTATATTATATTGCCATCAACCTCCAATAAAAATCAACTGCTCCTTAAGATGCCTTTTCCTGTTCTCCTAAGGGTAAGAATCCGAGTATGGTGGTAACAGGGCTGGACGATATTAGCAATTAAAAAATTTAACAGCGTACCTTTATAGCTAGGAAATTCAGTCCACTCTCGTTGGCCAAAGCCTTTGCAATCATTGTTTTAGAGCATCCAGGTGGCCCATACAGAAGAACTCCTTTAGGTGGCTGAATACCCATTCGGATGAAAGACTCTGGATGTTTCAAGGGCCATTCCACAGCCTGTTTCAATTTCAGTTTGATATTTTCCACTCCTCCAATATCTGACCAGGATACCTGCAAAAGAGAACATTTTCTAAATATAAGTTTTGCCAAGGCAAACAAAGAAATTAAAAAGAAAAATCAACAAAGAAGTACAAGAAGGGGAACAGGACCATCTAAGATTCAAGAAGATCCTAAAAAAACACTCCAACAATATCAAAAGTAAATAAGGAGTACATAAAATGTGAGCTGCATTTTATAGAATATTAAAGGAAAACAAAATGTTTCTGCTTGCAAGTTTTGTATAAATAACTGTTTAAATGATTGGCTATACTGTTAAGTTTATCTTCTATTCTAGATGGCTTTAAAAATTAGCTTTCAACTGTCTGAAAATGGTTTGAAGCAATGATCCAAGATCTCATCTATATATCTACTCTCATATTTCTTTTTTAGCAAAATTACTTCAAAGTATATTTCTGTAGGTCCTTATGGAACATATAATCTTTTTAGTCTTTGGTATATTAATAAAGTATCCTCAAAAGTCTGTTACTTTTTCTCAACTAAGAAATATCCCCAAAACAAGATAACTCTTTACATCTTAATAAATATGCATTAAGAACTACATACCAGATAATGTACACAGGAAATAGAGGAATGAGACATAAATCCCGACTTCAATGAACTTAACTACCAATAACATGCATATAAATAACTATAGTATGATGGAAAGGATACTAATCACAATAACAGAGAAACAAAAAAAGCCTTTGGGAGTTTCCAGGAAGAAAAGATTATTTCCAGCTGGAAGGCAAATCTGAAAGCCAACTCTTGAAGCATGGATGAGATCTGGAAATGTGAAAATAGGGAAATGGTCAGAGGCCAAAAAATTACAAAAGGCTCATAAGGAAGTATGAAGAGGATGAGTGAAAAAAGATTTAAGGGAGGGAAATTTAAAAAAAAAGTAGGCTGAAACCACATAGTGGAGGACCTTAAAGACTAAATGAGGGAGTTCAAGAACCTCTTTGCTTATAAATGAGATGTCTTTGAAGGTTTTTAATCTAGAAAGCGACATGGTCTGATCTGTGCTTCAGGGAGACTTCTTTGACAAGATTCATTAGAGAAGACAGAGTGCAGGGAGACCAATTAAAGACCTATCACAAACATCCTTAAAAAAACAAAAACAAGCTTAAACTAAGATAACCACATGCAGATGACAAAGACACAACAGAAAGATACTGCAGGTCCATAACTGAGGGTTTTGAGGGTAGAGTAAGAAAAACAGAGAATTTAAAACTAAAGATTTCAAGACGGATTTTGATATAATATGGACCACAGAAAAACGATCTTTGGAGGGAAAATAAATAAGACAGATTTTGTGGGATATACAGAGTTGGAACACCGGATAAGATATTCAAATGATGAAAAGTGAGCAGTTGGAATGTAAGCATCACAAATGGAACTGTGGAAAGAGGACAGGACTGGAATTTTAGATTTCAGAGATATCTACATACAAACAATAGAAACCATGAGACTTATTAAAATTGCCAACCATGAGAAGAGAGATGTGGGTGAAGGCAGATCCTTGGGCACCAGCTACATTTAAGAGGCAAGAGAAAAGAAAGAGAAGACACGTCAAAGAACAATCAATCTACAAATCCAAAAAAGACGGGTTTTATTTGCTTGTTAGTAACAAGAAAAAATTACTTTTTCCATATTAACTTGCATAATTTTTCGGAGGGATTTTGTTGCTGCTTTTGTTTTTTGTGCACAGAACCAGGAGAATGCTCTATTATGAACTATAATCCTGAGATGGGATTTAATTAAGTTTCCCTGCAACATCAGCAGCCTTGGGTTTTATTTTGCCTTTTGTTTTTCTTTCTTTCCTAACTGATTTCTGATTTCATCAATTAATAAAATTAAAATTAAACTTGAGATAAGTGCACATGAGCTAATGGCCCTAAAAACATCCAGCTCGGGCTGGCCCAGTGGCGCAGTGGTTAAGTGTGCACGTTCCGCTTCTTGGCGGCCCAGGGTTCACCAGTTCGGACCCCAGGTGCAGACACGGCACCACTTGGCAAGCCATGCTGTGGTAGGCGTCCCACATATAAAGTAGAGGAAGATGGGCATGGACGTTAGCTCAGGGCTGATCTTCCTCAAAAAAAAAAAGTCCAGCTATCATCAGCAGGATCAAAGAGACTGTTTACCACAGAGGGTGAATGTCACTGGTACAACCAGGCCCCTGTAGGCAGAAGTGCAGCAGAGTTGTCACATCTTGATTGGTAGTTCCTGTTCATGGTCTCTGGTGTCTCTGATCTTTTTATTTTTTAACGTAATTTTGAAATTTTTGAAACATATACAAAAGCTGAAAAATCAGTAAAAGTGTAGACATACTCTTAGCCAAAATTCACCGATTTTTAGTATTTGCCACATTTGCTTTAGTATGTACTCTCACTTTCTCTCCACACACACATATATACCAACAGCGCACACAAAAACACACATACTTTATCAATTTTTAAATTTTCTGTTGAACCTTTTTAAAGTAGGCTTCAGATGTCATGACACTTATTCTAAATAACTTAGCATACCTCTCATAAAAATAAACAGTCTGGGAAGAGAGTTTTAAGAAGGTAGTCAACAACTATCAAAAACTAAATAGGGAGGAGCCAGCCCAGTGGCATAGTGGTTAAGTTTGCGTGCTCACTTTAGTGGCCCAGGGTTCACAGATTCAGATCCTAAGCACAGACCAACACGCTGCTTGTCAAGCCATGCTGGGGAAGCATCCCACATACAAAATAGACAGAGATTGACACAGGTGTTAGCTCAGGGACAATCTTACTCAAGCAAAAGGAGGAAGACTGGCAACAGATGTTAGCTCAGTGTCAATCTTCCTTACCAAAAAGACCCCAAGAACACAAAACCTAAATAGAGAGATCAGAAAGTATGCAGAATCAAGAAAAAACGGTCAGTAGATTTGGCAACAAGGTTACTGAATATAGTGGTTTAATTAGATCAGTAGTTTTTGTTTTTCTGCCTTTTAGCAGTGGAATATACATATACACACAACACACACATCACACACATATACACCCATATAGAGACAATATGTATATATTATATATACAATGGATAGAAGCTGTATTTATAATAACTATCATAAATGTAAAAGTCAAAGAAGCAACTCCTTAAACTCAAAGGAACTAAACTGATACTGTGTTACTGTTATGATGCTGCAAGAGATCCATTTGGTCGTCACTATGCAGTTATTATACCTATACAAGGAGAACAGCACACTCTGTAAACATGTTCCACAAGGAGCAGATGTTCCCAAGCCTTGGGGCATGTCTGAATTACATATTGAATACTGTAGCAGTAGAGCAGAATACTTAGTTAAGATATTTTAGATAAGCATACATATACAGATAAAATTTTTTTAAAGGTTAGTGCAGAACTAATCCTTCCTAGTCAATGACATTTTTAAAAAATTCAATTATACGCCAATAAATAGCAAGGGAGGACAGTTTTCTCAGGTGTATATGAAACTAAGTAAACCTAGCAATACAACCTGATAATCTTCAACATGATAAAATTTGGTATTTAATAAATTTGAGTGTGCTTGGTTTTTAATCAGTTTTTAAAAAAGTCTTTAATAAGAGTTATTTAAAAGAACTTAATATTAGATAGTAAATCCCTAAAGCACCTCCCAGAAACACACACAGAAATCACCAAAATAAAGATAAAGAAATCCATATCGTAAAAGAGATCATTAGTTAGGGATCAGGGAGTAGTAGCAAACAGCATCAGCCGGACCAGGAGTCGGAGAGAGCTTGTTCCTCAAAAGAAATTAAGATGCTCTTACCAGAAAACTGAATGCTTACTGGACATGAAACAGGCCCAAAACCGATGCCACTGTGTGCACCTAGTAGTCTATGCTGAGGAGTCTGTCCATTGCCTTGAAAGTTCTAAGAACAAGCAGAAAAGTGAAACAATCTTGTCCCTTACCCCATCTCCTGGCCTTTGGGGCTCTTGCTTCATCAGTTGTCTTTCCTCTATTCCTGGCTTAAATGTATTCTTCACTGAATTCTTTCCTCAGCCCACAAAAATTCCGCTTCTCCCTACTCTTCAAAACAACCTTACTTTGCAGTTGTTTCTACCTAATATTATATCATAGCTCCTTCCTTCTCACCACTAAACTTCTTGAAAGATAGTTAATACCCCTCTACTCTTACTTCATTTATATTTTCCACTTTTACTAAGTAGTGGTAGGAAAGGAGAGTGAAAGATAGAAAGTTTAAGATTGGTGGGAAACAGGGATTTGAAAGACTTATGTCAGAAGGTGTGTAGCCTCTCAGGAAAATATGAGGCAAGGTCATCTGCAGAAACATCAATCAATCTAACAAATACCGACAAAATGCCTGCTTCATACTATGCTGGTTCCTGAGGACAAAACAGTTCCTGTCCATACTGAGCTTTTGACCTGATGGAGTATTTCCTTAAAAAGGAAATTACTATACAGCATGGTATATGCTAAAATAGTAGTCACAGAGTTTCAACAGATGGTCAGAAAAAGCTTTTCAGAAGTGATATTTGAGGTGGCATCTGATGAACATACAGGAATTAGCCAGCTGAAATTAACGGTCAATGACATGGAGAGGAGAGAGGAAAACAAGGCATGCTACATTAGGAGAACTAAAAGTAATTCAGTACGGCTAGAATTTAGAGAGCCAAGAGAGGAAGAGAAACAAAGGAGGTTAGCAACACAGGGAGCAATCAGACCTTGAAGACTCATAAGGCATCAAGAAGTTTAGGCTCAGGATATCCTGAGAGCAGTGGAGAGCAATTTAATCAAGGAAATGACATGACCATATTTCTGGAAGACCTATGGTTACAAAGTAGAGTGGGGATTAGAATTCGGGGAAGAGTAGGAAGGGACTTCTACAGTAATTCAGACAAAAGATGGTGATTATCTGCACCAAAGCAGTAGCAGTAGGGCTATAGGGCTATAGAGAACAACAACAACAACAAAATAAAAACTGTATCAAGCTATATCAAATAAAGCAAATCACTGAGTCTTG